TACTTACCTCATTCAGTTGGTGTGTCTAATTTAAGGAATTATCGAGATAAATACCAAGATTTTTGACATTGTCAAAGTAAGAGATTACAACTCCATCGAATTCGCGAGGTGGTACGGACAACCAGTCAATTATTGAGATAAAGCTCCGGCTACCAATAATGATGGCCTGTGATTTTTTGGGATTAACTTTTAGGGCATATGACTTAATCCACTCATGAATAATATTTAAATCGTTATTTAATGTAGCAATTGCATTCTGCAAATTCTTAAGAGTTGACTGGGTGTAAATCTGAACATTATCCGCATACATGTGGTAGAGAGAAGATATTTTATGAGTGATTGAATTAATGAAAATGGAAAAGAGTGAAGGTGACAACACGTCACCCTGCAGCACGCCTGCAGTAATATCACACCAAGATGAGTGAGTTTCATCGACACGAATACACTGCCGACAGCCACATAGCTAACTTTGAAACTAGTTAATTTCCGATGGAGATATGTTAAGGGAACACAATAGACTCAACAGTATATCGAAATCAACAGTATTGAACGCATTACTGAAATCCAGCAAGGTCATGACTGAGGTTTATTATCCGTACCCCACCGTATGTCATCAGTAACTTTAATTAAGGCAGTAGCCGTACTATGTCCAGGACGGAAACCGGATTGTAAAGGATTCAACAAATTGTGCTTGTTAAGGAAAAGTGTCAGCTGTTGGCAAATAAGTATTTCAAGGACTTTAGAAAGGAAAGGTAAAATCGAGATGGGACGGAAATCAGAAAGGTTGACGGGACTGGATCTCTTCGGAAGGGGTATAACATGTGCACTCTTCCAGGCTTAAGGGAATTTAGACGAAGATACACACGCATTAAGTAAATAGGTAATAATGGGTGCGATAACATCAAGGAAAGGAATAATCATATTACGGCTAATGTTGTCACTACCGACAGCATTTGAGGTGATGGATAATATGATCTTCTTAACATCACATACACTAAACTGACTAAAAACGAACGGAGGATAATTAGGAGTCGGAGTTTATGTTCACTATCAAAAGAGTTAGAAGGATTAGAAAAATGTTGATTTAATAGTTCGACACCAACACTAGGAGGCGAAGCATTTAGAGATATTCTTCCAACTCCAACTGTTTTAAGAAACTTCCACACCCTAGATGAGTCGCCGTTCTCGACTGATGTATGAATATGGCGTCGTTGTGCATCTCTACATAATGTATTGCAGCGATTCCTGATTTTGGCGTATTTCCTTTGGTTTTCCTCGGTTTTATTCCTCTTAAGCTTTGACAATGCCATATTTTTCTTCAAGATAAGACTTTTCAGATCATCAGAGAGCCATGGAGCAGGTAAATGTTTGAGTTTCACGTAATGCGTTCGCGCGTGAATGTCATAAAGCTGAGTAAGTAGGGAACAGAAAAGTTCAACTTGATCATCAATGCAAGATGCTCTCTCAATCACTGACCAGTCAATATTATGCGCATCTTCACAAAGTTGGTCAATATCCATTCCTTCAAAATTACGTCGCAGAACTCATTTAGGTTTGATTTTAGGAGGGCGTAGTTTATACGAAAGGAAAATTAAATCGTGATAAGAGAATGTATCAGCAGGAACACTGTCCGTGTTTGAAAACTAGTGTTGAAGATGACACTATTATTAAGTCAAGAAGGGAAGGAGTACAGTTAGGAAAGTTATGAGTAGCAGAAAGGGGTAGGATTTGCATATTACACGCTTCAATAATAGACTTAAGTTTTATAGCCCGATTGTCGCCTTTAAGCAAACAGGTGTTAAAGTCTCCCATCAAAATAGTATGACTATACGTAGGGACAAGTGATTCCAAAAGAGATTCAAACGAAGTAAAATAGTTTACAGAAAGAGAGGGACTGTAGAATACTCCAAGAAGGATTTTATTCTGAGACAGGGAGACCTCGACCAGTAAATGCTCAGCAGAATCAACAGGAGGTGGTTGACATGACGAACTAACGATTTTAAATGGAAAGTGGGATCTAAGATAGATCGCCACGCCCCCACCACCCCTATTAATGCGATCGTTTCTAACATTTAATTAAAACCCTGACAAAGAGTAAGAAGTAGAAGGCAGACAGGGTTTTAGCCAAGATTCTGAAACTAAAATAGCGTGAATATTTTGGGATTCAAATGACGCAAGTATGTCGGGATAATGAGCCAGAATGCTTTGGGCGTTGATATGAATAGCATTGAAGTTATTCACACAGTCTGAGAAACAAGAACTTAAGGTAATGTTGAGTGAAGGAGTAGCAGTTGTACTGTGATAACTAACATCACTAAGTGTCTCATCATCCGAAGATAACGACATAAATAAATCACTGTCGTAACAAATGTTTGAGGATAATATAAAATACTATATTAAAATATACAATAAATTCTGTATAATTTATAATAATAATTTAATACATAATAACCAAAAGTTACAAAAAAAATAGTAATAATATATGAATTGAGCTGCTGGAGTATACGAATTAAAGCGAAATAACATGAGAAACACGCTACTACCATCATTTTTTCGTCGTCTTCCTATCCCTAGCAGTAGTAACACAGGGCTTGGGAGTCGAAGATGCCGCCACCGCCGTCGCCGCAATCAAGGATGAGTTAGTAGGAACACTAACAGCTGCATCAGGAATGGCGATTACCTCAGCCACGGTGTACACCCGGTGCTTCGTACTATCGGACCCGAGCACCACAACATATCCATCTCGTGTCCAACATTGGGAAACACCAAACCGCTTCCGAGCAGCAATGAACGCCTCATGACGGCCCTTAGTCATGAACTCAGATAGAGTAACTCCGCTACCCTTTAACTTGGTTTTGGAAAACCAAACTTTGTCACGGAGATCCTGATCTCGAAATTTCACGAGCAGTGCACGATGCTTGTCTCCACGGGGGCGCCCTAAGCGATGGCATGTATAGTTGCAGAGGCTCTGGAGGATGCTTTTAGCATCTTTTGGGTGAATGCTTGCGCACATTGGTGGACTTGTGAAGGGCTGTAGTGATTATTATGATAAAAAATTAAAATCTAAGTGTGTTGCGCATGTTTCATGAAATAAATATATTTTGCATAGAATGATCTTATTTTTCATCTGTCGTTGATTACATTAGGAAAAAATGGCAGGTATTTCAATGCCATTTTACTTGATAATTGTTGTTTATCCGTTTTAAGTTACGGAAAGTTAGAAAGTATTTATTCAGAAAGCGAAGAGAAAATGAGTAAAGTTATATCTAGTAAAAAGTTTTACTTGAGAAGATGATGTAAACATGAAACTGGGAGTGATTATAAGTATCCTAAGTGTTCATTTAAAAAAGAAGATAAAATAAAATTTCAAAAATAAAAGGTTCCTTTCATGAAATAATTTTAAAAATGTTTTAATTTAATGTTATTTTGATTACTTGTCAGAATTTGATTATAACATAAAAACCCCGTTATTGCTGTCGGCATATTGCTTGCTCAAACTTAAACGATTATGTCTTTTATGCTTCGTCGACCAATAGGTCATTTAGTGATTAAGCAGAAAATTAACAAAAGCGTTAAAGTTTCAAATTCTTAGGCTTATAATAGACGTTATACTAAGCTAATTACCACCGTTAAAAAGTTTATATTAAATATAAAATTTGCAGATATTTTATTTAAAACATTAAATCAATATTGAATTTACCTACTTTATGATAAATAAAGCATGGTGGAAATTTAAGCGAATGCAATACCTTATTTCGTCAGTTTTTGTAAATCACAGGGAAATTAGCTTGAATATTTTTGATTCTGAATTCAGAGTATAAAATGCTATACGTCAGATTGTAATAGCCACTCTGCTTGCCATATCGTATGTCACCCTCTGCGAAGAAATGAGACTTTCTATTTTACTTTCTTCTGAAATTAATTATATTATTAAATATTTGTCGTATAATTTTAAATAGTAATAGTACAATAGGCCATCGACAGTGCCGCCACGTAACCACATAAGTAAACGTAACTCTTCTGTCATGTGTGCTGTCTATGTACTTGCACGACGTAGCGAGAAAAAGTGTCAATAAGCTCTTTTATTTTTATTTTGTACTTTGACCAACATACGCATACTTCAATAAGGCGATATGATCTGAAAAACGTAACCTTCAGAAACTCCAACTTCATCGCCCTCAAGAACCTCTTCCACATTACTCTCGCAGTTGTTATGTATTCTTCTTGACTTACCTCAGACTACAAGGCAACTCCTGGCACTTGCATCTTCGTTGACAACTCAACTGCACTGTTGACCTCCGGTCTGAGTATGGGGATGATACAGCGGCGTTTTCGTCAAGCCACAAGAGCAAACGAACCGAAGAACTATCGGAAGACAAATCACGATATCGAAATTTCTGAACGGAGCAAACACGTAGCTGCACCCTGGGCTGTACACTTTGCCCGGGAGGTGCTCCTCTGTACCTTTGCTGGCCAATAAAAATACCATGAACGCAATGAAAAATTAAAGCTTTCTTACAGAAATTATACAAATGACCTAGTTTTAAAACTTAGGATTCCTATAAACTTTTCTTTTCTAAGGTATGTCGGATACATTGGCAAAAGAAGGTTCTTGACTGGCATCTACGTCTAATAATAGTATAGCGAGACTCCGGTGACCCCTAATAACACGTAATATCATTCAATTTTATGGATTTAGGTGTGGAAGACAGTGATTATCTACAGAAGACACTGCACTGGATTTTTGATGTGCTGTAATGGTAAAGATGTTTTGAAATATAAAAACAATTGATAGTTAAAAGCCCTTTATTCAAAGATAAATTTTATTTATTAAAGAAAAGAGTTCATACCTATTTTGAATAGGCAATCCCTATGGAGTTGGAGTGAGGTGTATTTACCGTAACTGAAAAAGTGGTTTTAAAAATAACAACATCAGTAAAAAAAAATTATTCAAATAACATTTTATTGTGTATAATATATTTATGTATATTTTGTTACAGGCTTTATTAAGAGGTGCCGTCAGTCAACAAAGTGCGGTTATATTAGTGTGTATGGCGATAGACAGGTATTTGTACTTGCTCCACCCAAATACCTATCACAAGCATTCAAGTAAAAAGGTATGTAAGATTTAGGTTTGGTGATTAATATTTGGCGACAGTTTAAGTAAGAGTTTTGTTTATCTTTATCTAGAAGGGAACCTTTCCCTTCTACATAAAGATGGAAGTCTGCGTAAATTGTGGCTCTCAGAACTTAATTACTAATGGTTCCAATGTTCTTACACTAGGATTTTCTTCTGTATTGTAAATACGTAAAATCATAAATAGCACAAGGAAAAACATTTAGACCTAAATCAATTATTAATAGACCATACAAATACTTGTTTCGCGCGGGATTCGAACTAGCGGCCCCCAGTGCTTGCCACTCAATGCTAAGCTGCCACTGCACCATTAAGCCAATAGGAGTTAAAAATGAAATGAGTAGGAGTTAAAAAGGCACAGCTCGTTTGTTTGCGGTTTTAGGTGTGTTGGTTTTCCTCCCGTCTACTCTAAGCAGTTCGTAAAATTATTTACTTGTTATTTAAATTATTTACTTGTTATTTAAATTATTTACTTGGTAATTATTTACTGGATTTTCGAACACAGTACCAGAAGTAGCGCATCTTTGAGGATGCTCCCTGTCACTGTTCTGGATATTTTACGTCTAACGTAAACGAGATGGTTATTACCAGCATTTTTAGTAACTCTGAGATTTAACTCTTTTTAACTTTTTTTTAACCTTTTTTAACTCTGAGAGTGAGAATATATACAGTTAACATTACATCCCATTAAAAGTCCCCTGCCGAACAAAGACCTCCCCTAAAGATTATGACGTTCTCATAGTTCATCAAATATCCCCCCCCCATTTACTAGTGTCCCGCTTGGCAGGCGGGTTAGGAACCGCGGTTTTTTTATTTTTGCTTGTGCTTAGAAAAACAGTGCTGGACATCTCCTAATTTGGTTCCCTCTATCGCCTCTTGGACGATATGGGTTAGTGGATATACTTAAACCGTGACGAGTATAAATAAAATTGTACTGTCATTAAATCTAATGAAGTTTTGTATTAATTTGGAATCAAAGTTGTTCACAAAATAAAATTTATTCTGTTGTTATTGCAGGGTTGCGTGTTGGTTATAAGTGTTACTTGGATTTTATCAGTGTCATTGTTTGCTCTAATGGTTCTGCCTAGATCTGGGTACTATTTTAATTCTACTGGTTTAATGGCATGTGATGTATTTCATAGCAGAGTAGCTTTCAGGTAAATTTCATGGTGTTATTTTTTTAAGTTCATCAATTAATTGAGAAGTTTATTCAATAATTTAGTATATTCTAAGAGACATGTTTTTGTAACTTTCTTTCTAGAATTTTATCATGTTGTGCTTATTATTTTCCGACTACCATGGCACTTATGTATTGCTATGGATCAGGATTTCATGTTAGCAAAACGAGGAATAAATACGATCATGAGCCAGCGAGACCGAACGGTATACCAGTGGCATGCCCGAAGAGTTCACACAGAGAAGTAGAAACTGTTGTAAGTAATTATTAAACAGAAAATAACAATATAAACTTAATAAACATATGTTTTCAATATTATTTATTTGTTAATAGTCTACAAAAATTTCTAAAGGCTAAATGCTCGTCTTACGTCTGTTTGTAATATTCGAATAACGATAAAAACCCTATGAGTTATGTGCAATCGATTATTAAATTTTGCTCCTCATCTTACGTGTTATGATGGAGAATAATGTCCTACAGATATTTGGGGCTTAATGAGTATGAGGAAGAAACTCAATTAAATTTTTATTCCGTATTATTTCTGTTAGCATACCGAATCTGTGTCTGCATTTTAAGTATTATTTGTAAGATTAAATTAATGTATGTAGTGCATGAGTACGTAAGCACGGTAATTTTATCTATACAGTATTCCAACTTCATACAAACGGACGAAACGAGAGCTATGCCTACGCGCCTCGATCTCGGCATGCGCTCGGCATGCAGACAGCCGTGACTGTGCCGCAGTGATGATTTTGTGGAATATATAAAAAAATGGAGGAAATAAATAATAGAATAGAAATAAAGAAATAATAAAACCAAACTTCATTTAAAACCAAACATATAAATTGTGAAATATCTTTTACTTGGTTATAGAATATAGTTACCTCTATAACCAAGTAAAAGATATTCCTTTTCTCCACCGTGTCCACGTTTCCCAAAACAATTTTAATTAAGCTTTATATTAGAATGCGGATTTTTTATACTTAAAAATTTAATAATAAAGCATTTCGTACGTCTCAGCCGAGGTGCAAATATTTTTCGGTCGCAAATTCATAAGACCGATTTGTTATTCAAACAAACATGGTTTTTTAATTAAATGTACCAATCAAAAAACGACACGATTTTTTATTGAACACTTCCTATTCAATTCAAAAAGTACCTATTATATATTTACAATCATAAAACTAAATGGAAACACAAAGTAGGCAAATGTAAAAATGGTGGAGGCAGGCAGCCCTATCGCATGTTTACGTACCGCGCGGCTGTAGGCATTCAAAGATACGGCCGAGTTACAATACTGTATAGATAGTACGTAAGCATAGGCGCATTCACTATTCCTTCACTATCAAATTTCAATAGGATGGTAATCCGATACGACCGGAGATAGATCAGCTGCATGAGGAACGCGGCTTTCCAACTCGCAGGGCTTAAAAACCGCCGATATTTTGACTATGCTGTTTTTTTATATAAAAACCCAATAACTTAATTTGCCCTGGAAATCGAACCAGGGACAACATGATCAGTAGTTGCGCTTACGACCACAAACTCGAAAGAAACGAGGCAGTCAATTAGTATATTCACGTCATAAACATGCCTTAAAATGAAATAATATAAAGCATTTTGATCTTGTTATAAAGTTGGTGATGCAACTTTGTTTGCATTCAATTTAGATTTCATTTTGCCGCAATAAAAACTGAAGAACCGCATTATTACTGCGTGCAGAAAAGATGAATAACATTAATCATCATAAAAATACTTAAGTACAGTTTAAAGTTAAAATATAATATAACAGTAACTAGTAAATTTTATATATATATATATATATATATATATATATATAAAGTTATAGTCGTCACAAATATATAAAAAATAAAAAATATACACTTATGATTTGATATCAATATTGGAATAATTAAACCATAGTCGTGAGGCTATATATTAACTTAGTTTAGCTTTTAGTATCTGCCTACCTCTCTGCGTGACAGGCGTGAGTGTTTAAGGTATTGTTTTTTAGCTTTTAGTATGTCATATCATACATACATGCGGCGTATGTATATTATATTTGGTTCCTAGCTGATTTCACTCGCGTGGAATTTATTACGATTGGATTTCATGGGCTTAATTTTTTTGGCCTACCCTGAATCTTTAAAAAAATAAAAGTAGCCTAAGTTACCCCTTATAACGTCAGCACCAGTTTAGGTTTCGTCAAACTCGGTCTAGCCATTTCGGATATTAGCCGGAACAAACAGACAGAAAAACAAATCTTTATAAATTCTTTTTTTTGTTATATGTACCATATATAAAAAGCTATTATTTTGACATTAGAACCAGACACCTTACATTTATTTATTTGTATAGATTAAATAAACCAATGTAAAATTTAAAAAAAATGGTAGTACAGCTGTATATAAATATCAAAATAATAAAATCTATTATGTCATACTAAGCATAGCAAAAATGCCCCTTTTCTTCTATCGCAGAACTACACAGTAGAACTACGTAAACCTACTTATATTATGTTATTGAAATAATCTCTAATGAATTTGTTCACTTTTAGCAAATTCAACCACCGATCAGGCCGCACAGCGTCAGCACTTCTCGTACAATGGCTGCAATGTCTTTAGGTTTCATTGTAATGGTAACTCCAGCTACAATAAAAGAGGTTGTTGCTGCATGCACTGGATGCAAAGTAATAAATCCATTTTTATGAAAACGAATTTTGATAAATTGTACCTGTATTTTTGATAAGTTACTTATTTTTAACAGGTTCCACCATCGCTGGACTTCATAGTTACTTGGTTGGCTTTAAGTAACAGTTTTTGGAATCCTTTTCTTTACTGGCTTCTAAACGGACATTTTAGGAGGATAAGTAACGACCTCGTCCAGTATTATGTAAGTGACAACTTTATTGCTTATTTTATTGAAAAACGTTCCAGATACATCGTTAGGGCCAACATCGTTTTTCTCGAAGCAGTTCATTGGTGGATATCGATTCACTTTTATTGCAGAGAGTACGACGTAAGCGCCATTATTAGCAAGCATTTCAGAATCTGCAAATCTATATATACCATTCGTTCATTAAAATCGGCTCATCCCTGACCTAGTAATGGGCGTTGTGACAAAACGCAAATTATACATTTCTCATCTAAATTATTTTATTTAATTATTTAAAAAAGCAACCAAAGGTAGATGAAATAAAAATAGAATTGTGATGTATGGGGAGATTTATGTTCAGAAGTGGACTTGTGAAAAAATTATTACAGTTAGTTTATTACCTTTAAGTTCATTAAAAGATGAATTTACAAAATCAGAAAATTATCCGGTTTAATTTAAATTTGCAGATGAGTTACGCAGATATGATTGAAAATGTTAGACGAAATTTTTAATCAATTTTAAATGCAGATTTATTACGCTCTGAAACATCGTTACGAAAGCAGCAATTTACCACTTTGCAAATACGCATTAAGGCCGCGTTGTGAACTCTTTCTGCTTCTGAAACCTCTTGTAAATGAGAGTTCTATCCTTGCCTACTGTAGGACTTATATTGGCTGTTAATTTAATAAAAAAATATATATATATATATATATATATATATATATATATATATATATATATATATATATATATATATATAATAAAAATAAAGGGTCATTTTTAAAGAATATTTGACTTATGGATTGGTTTTTGTAGCGTTTATGAAATAACGCTTTTATTTTAAATTAAAATTTGATCAACAGGTTTGCTGTCGAAGAAAGAAGACTTTTTCTGTATACGAAAAAACTGCAGCTTGTTGTGGTTCACCAATTACATCGGAAGGCTTACATTCAAAAGGTGAATTTGAAGGGCTCGGAGAAAAATATTGGGGGGAAATTTTAGAGCGTACGGTTTCATCAACTTCTTTACACGCTATTCAAAAGGCCTGCCACAGAGATGTCCTCAGATGCACCGGATCATTCAAGGGTTGTCCCAATAGTTGCAAACATGATCTTAGATTTTTTGATGGGTATGGTCCAACAGATTATAGGCAACTAGATCGTTCTGCATTTCAGATAGAATCTTGTTCTAGACAATGTAAGATGAAGAATTCAGACTTCTGCCTATTTAGACCAAACTTTGAAATTGAACCTGGTCGTTCTCGTTCTAATTTGAGTTTAGATGAAGGGAATCTAAGCAAAATGTGCAATGGTAGGCATTCAGAGTTGTGAGAATTCCGAAACTGTCCGGTAATCGGACACAGGAGCAATAGTATAAGTATGTATCCAGGAGTTGAACATTTTAATTCGAGTATTAAATGGAAATTTAAAGATACGTCGTGTATAGAAAATGACAACACACGTTACTTGGAAAATAATCTTGACAGACTAAATAGTCTTACCCATGAACGAAATTTTAATATGTACGGAGCAAAAAATAATGACAATTTATTGGAAGTTGAAGTGAATGATATAGTTGAGGATATCTCAGATGACACCAAAGATTATATTAATGAAAATGGTCGTGAATGTGTTGATGAAAAAAGTGAGTGTAGTGGTATGAATAAATTTTCACGACATTCGTCCCTTTCCAATAGAGAGCTAGATGTTATCAAAGAAAGCTCAAGGAGCTCGAGTGATACGGAAATCACATTAACGCGATGACTCCCGAAAGTGACTTTTCTCAAAGAAGTGAATGTTGTTCGTTTAGATGTATCTCCAATTAAAAGACAAACTTAAGTGTTTAATACAAATAGAAAAGTGAATGTGTTTTAAGTCTTTAGAGTTTTAATAATTTATTTTCAGTGTATTGTAAATAATCATATTATGTCAACCATTAAATTTGGGTCCATTTCTTAAGTCTTCTAATTACAAAAATTTAAAACTGTCGTTATATGATAGTTTTTAATTAATTTAGTTCGCAGGATTTTGGTTATAAATGTTTTTAAGATTAATATTTCACAGAAAAAACCCACAGCGCCAAAACCTATGTAAATATAATTCAGAAAAAGTAGAATATTTTATATGTTTTTTAATAGTTTACTGATATTTGTAATTTAGTATCGCAATAAAGAAATATAAAGAAAATATTTTAACTATAGTAAATTCATTTTATATAATATTTATCGTACAAGTCATTATGGCCGTAAACGTAAGACCGATTTTGTATTATATTAGTAAAAAAATAAAATTAAGAGTGTTCAACTTAATTACTGCGTTAATATTCTTTGATTTTGACATTGAAAAGTTAAAATACTACAGATTTATTAGTATATGAAGGAAATCTTCTTTAGTGGTATTTTGAATAAAAAAAGAGAAATTGGATAATAAATACGTTATTGTATAAAATATTTAATGATTTAAGACATCGTACATATTTCTATGGAAGAAAAGACTGTTAGAAGAGAAATTCAGAGTCGCACAATTCTTTTAATTTGTATTAAAGATGATTATGTGTATATCTATTTAAAATAGTAAATGCAATGACAGAAAAAATAAATTCTTTGATTTATAATTTGATTGTTTTATTTTGTCTTTTATGCCTTATTAATATCTATATCTATATCTATATCTATCACGATATTCTAGGAACTTGGCTCTTTTCTAAAATTTGGAGATGCTTCCGGCTAAAACTAGGTCCAGTAAAGTCTGAATAATAGGTAATTAAAATAACAATAATATCTGTGGTCTTAGTCAAAACTACGAATGCTCCTGTCACGTTTATAAATTATTATTATTACTTAAAAGCACGGGTATATCTAGATGAGCTCAGGTATATCTCTACTCTGTTCAATTTAGCACGAAATTTTATATAAATAACCATAAAATGCGTTAATTGTAGTAAGTGATAATAAGTACTCGTTAAAAATAAAAGTTAAAATGTGGAAGCGCAAATTTTTTGGTTATTTTGCGAAAATCCCTTATATTAAAGTTTTAAAAATAAATTTTCTAAGATCCGCATTATTAAATAAAATGATGGGTCTTACATAGTTTGAAGAACACCTCCGCCCTCCCTCAATTGCGTGCAATATCCCCGTCACCATTAATCCCAGTACAACTACGCTTGGAATGACACACCATCATTAACAATACACCGGTGAAGTAGACTCTGCGGTGGCTATCCCTAAGTGAATTACCGTACTTAAAAAGCCTCAAAGCTCCCCAAAATTACATTACTCAAACTTGAGTCTCACATTTGATACTCATGAAATTGAGATGAAGAGAGAAATAAACATAAAATGTAAATAAAGGATGGTATGACAAATGCATTATTAGAAATTTTATAGTAATTCTCACTGATTTTTATTTAAGGACTCAGTCTCAGGTAAGGACTCAATTTAGGAGGGTTTTGAAGCAATGAAGATTGTGCCGTAATAACAAAACTCATGAGAGAAAACTTTAAATGACTGCGAAATTTTTTTCTTAGACATACAACGGAAGCCCTCTATCTACTAACAACTTTCTTGGTGTTGGCGGCAATCTATATAATATATTATATATATTATATAGATTGCTTATGCTTGATCATCATACATATAATATATAATCATACACACACACTCACACACAAAAATATATATATATATATATAATATATATATATATATATATATATATATATATATATATATATATATCAAATACCTATAAAAATGAAAGAGTGACACTAGAATTTCCTGTGAAAATCGGGGATGTAGTGATACTTGCTTTGAGCGAATCTGTAAAAGACACTTAAGTTCTGCGATCACTCCAGTTTTTTCAACGGCTCTTCAGTCCTGGCTGTAAGTGTACGCAAAATTTAAAAATTATTTTTAAGCCACTTTTAATTCAATTTTCGAAAGTTTTTAGTGATGATACGAATAAAAATTTTGTAAAATTCAGTATAAATAAATTTATAAAAAAAGTAAAACAGGCTTAAAAATCCTACTAATAGCTTCTGAAGCCAGTGCTAAGACATAGGGTATCGAAGAATAAAAGCCCCCACTGCAGAAGCCATTATGTTCAATTTATTTTATTATTTTTTGTTTTTGAGTCGGTTGCTTTTTTCAAATTACTATTTTCTTTCTTTGAGTGGACTGAACAGCCGCGGAAGCCCAGATGGTTACCGCTCGCTGTAAATTTCACAGCGAGCATCCCGGGTTCGATCCCCGCCAGCATCAAAAAATTTGTTAATTGCAATTTTAAGTGCTCATTTATCACATTCTCGGCGATGAATGAAAACATTGTGAAGAAACCTGCATGTCTGAGATATATAGGAAAAAATATATAATAGGAAAAAATATTTCAAATACAGGTGATGTTCGCCACTACGCATTGGGGCAGCGCGGCGGACATTTTCTTGCCCTAAAAGACCCTCATAAATGAGAGGAGGCTTGTGCCCAGCTGTAGGACGTATATAGGCTGTAACTTTATTTTACTTTTGAGTGAACTAAGAAATATTACAAGTTCAGGATCACAATAAGAATATCATTTTAACATTGCCGTCATTACGGGTAATTTTTTTTCTAAAAATTTATAAGGGATTATCCTTGAAGTGTAACGTATTTAATAAAAAAATATCATTAAAATCGGTTCAGCCATTTTTAAGAAATTGGTGAACAAACATACGACCATCGCGTTTTGAAACTCAGTTGAAAAAGGACATTATAATATCAATATAATTAAAATATCATATCAAATTAGTGGTTACAATGTAAAGAAGTTCAATATGCTTAGGGATCTTATTCAAAATATATACATGTTCTTTGCGGAATTCGTATTCACAGTCCACGTTCTCGCAGTCAAAGACCTAGGCCACTATACTACCGAAACGATTTAATTTTACAAGAATGTTTACTTTTTCTAGGGTTCTTATCTGAAAAAGTGTCCGTCTGTCCGTTTGTCCGACTGTCAAGACCTTATTTATTTTGTATTCAAAATTGAAACTTATAGCAAATATTAAGGACAAACTTTTAAGTCAACGCAACCAAAAGGCAATATTATTTATGTCACATGTAAGGGAGAACATTTTTTAGAGTTTAGTGTGTCCTTCAATCCAACTTACCTTTGTGTTAGCTTGAGTATACAGCTCATCCTGCATGGAGCACTCACACCGCGGGATAATCGGCTGTGTGTTTCCCCCTTCTTCAAGAGTCGGATTGGATGCCAAGAGAGAGCCCAGCAGATTGGCTTTGTCATTTACGGCATGGGTCAGTGAGTCGTCCTCCTTGTGCGAAGATCGGAGAGATGGCTGACAGAAGCTCTCTTGGACATTAGAATGAATGTGTTCCCGAAGGAAGACGAACTAGATTTTCGCCAATTCTACCGATGTGCTCTGACTTTGCCTTGATATATATATATGATATATAATGACACTTTTGAAGGACCTGGAGGCCGAATTATACTTCATTTTAAGAGCGATTGTATTGGCATACCAAGACGTCGATGCGTGAGCCCAGGCCTGGTAGCACTCTTGCTATGGCGTAATGCAATTTTGCAGGAGCGACCAAACCATGGCTGGGTTCTGTCTCCGATAGGTAACACAGATGATAAAATAAAAAGTTCCATTCCCTGGACCAATGGCAAATCAGCAACAAAGCTGGGATCATCCGGCGAGAAGCAAACCCGGCTCCAAGGGTAGGGTGCAAAAAAGATCGCATCCCATCCCAGTCGGCTGACCTATAATGCCAAACACGGCGACAACCTGCAGAATGCAACCGCGATGCGAGCATTAGTGGCACCGTACTCCGGATCAGACAATGCCCAAGAGGGGTATTGAAGGAGACCTGATATCCGTCCGAATGAGAGGTTAGAAAAGGTCCATGAAGGAATGAATGAAGCTACAAAATCTTCCACATCTGGGATCCGCGTAGGCGAAGTAACCAGTTGTGTCAAATACAATGACCATATGCCATAGCAAAGTCGTAAGTACATCTACCTGCATGATCGGCTAAACGAGAACAAGTCATTCAGCGTGGTGGGCGTTAAAATCGCCAAGTATCACAATCTCTGGGGATTAGACCTGTTGTTGCACGGAGTCTGCAGCCATTTGGCCGTGGTCGATGAGTCAGTCTGTGTCTGCATTACTGCTATGGGACCCCCGTAATGAGACACCCGTAGACGTGAGGATGTTCGTCGCTATCTACGCGCAGCCATAAAATGGAAAGGTCCGTACCTTCAAGGCTGCCGAGGCGTCGAAAACAGATGTCACGCAAACTCCAGCCCGGGGCCCAAAGGAGTGTTCTAATTTGTGCCCCGGGTAGGAGAGATACAAAGTATCAGCCAGAGAGGACATCCGTTAGAAAGAGCACGGCTGACTTCTCCATTTCTTTTTTTTTCGTTTCCTCTTTTTGGTAGTGGACGGCGTTAAGGTTTGAATGAAGTCCCTTGATGTTGCAATAACTCACGGAAAGCGTGACAGGGGGCGCCTTTGACTTATTGCCTCGAGCGGGTTTAGTCTGGAGCGGAATTTCGCCCCTCCCGTAGAATACGCGGTGCAACTTGAGCACCCACGCTCAGGAAGAGTAGGGTATGCTCAGTGAGGGATTATCCGTATCCGGGGGTGCTGGTACCTTCCTGGGGTAGTATTTTATTTAACTCCGCTACCATGTGAGGAGAGGGGGGGAGGGAGATTGGGCCGCCGGCCACCTGCACTCACCAGATGAAATGCAGAAGCAGAGCTTCTA